TTGGGGACTCAGACTAGGAAAGAGAGTCCTGCTTCTGGCGTCCCTCCTGGGAAATGGGTCAGCCCAGGGGGCCTTGGAATCCCAGCCTCCGGTCCTCAGAGGTTGGAGGCAGAGATGGGGAGCCTCCCCCTCCCCAGAATCGCAATCTTCTGCCTTGCTGGAGAATCCGCAGCTACTCTGCTTAATAAATCATTTTCGGAGCCAGCTGGCTGAGGTTTGGCGTTACTGGGGAGGTGTCCAGGGGTGGGAAACCTGGGGTCCTGGGGGGGGGGGTGGGAGTGAGAATCTGAGAGAAGGTAGGCAAAGGGCTCAGGAGCTGGTGAGAGCAAGGAGCCAAGGCAGCAACTGAGGGGCTCTGGGGCAGGCGGTGGCCAGTATACCTCTGTAGACCCCAGTTTTGGTGAGGTTGGTCCCCCAAATCTGGGCCTGTCGTGATTACCATCTGTGCCCACACAGGCTTCCTTCCTGTGTACTGCCAGCTTTGTTGGCAGAATTCTCCTAAGGCAATAGCTTTCCCAAAGGTTCGTGGGCCAATGCTGGGGTCCGGAGTGGGTGGTTGAAGCATCAGTCAGACTCTGTCCCCCACTCCCCCACCTTCAGCAACCCCGCCTTCCAGCCAGCACAGCCTGACCTGCAGCCCCAGGGGGAAGAAAGTGCTGATGCCAGCCTTTCCTGAGCAGAGAGAACTCAGACGTTCCCAGGAGCAAGGGAGGGAGGCCCCAGGCGTCTCTGGGGCTTCCCTGCCCTGTTTGGGTGGGCACAGGCCAGATGCATGAGATGCCATGGGTAGGAGCAGGGCCCGGTGATGTGAATGAAAGCGTGCACGGTGCGTGCACGGTGCGTGCACGGTGACGCTGAATCCTCTGTCCACTGAGCTGATGCCCAAAGGCAGGGGAGGCAGCCAGTGCAGAAGCGCTTTGAGACCTGCTGGGAGTCAATGGTCAGCCCACCTCAGCACCCCAGGAATGCATAAGGAGGCCGGCCCTGCAGGATCTGAGGATGCCCGGGGCAGGAGGGGCCCTGGGTGGAGGCTTTTTCTGCTCCAGAGAACTTTCCAGAAGGCATCCCATTGCCGGGATCCCAGACACTGGCGGACAGTTGATCCTTTCCCTTTCTTCTGGGCGGCTCTCCCAGCTCCCCGTCCTGGGCTGTGGTCCGTGCGCAGCGAATCCCAGATGCATGCCTGGGCCCCTGCCACTGATCGGGTCCGACGTGTGTGCTGGCCTGGAAGGGCTCTGAGCTCGCCTGATGCTGAGCCCGGCCAGCTGGGCTGGTACGCGGCAGCTCTGGCCAGCCGTACCCTCCTCTGCTTCTCTGTTGTCAGAGCAGAGGCTCCCAGGGCCGGTGGGTGTCAGCGAGGGCCCCAGGGAGGGCAGGTGGGGGGGCCGCAGGCCAAGAGGAGGGCCTGCGGTGCCAGGTCAGCTGGTATGGGGGCCTGGCCGAGGCCTTGTGCCAGGACCAGGCTGGCCTCCTGTCCTGGGCAGGTCCCTTCCGGTCTCGGCCTCCCTCTCTCAGATGTGGGGGTTGGCTGCAATGGTCCCCCCAGGTCTTCCGGTGCGAGCCTCTCATGGTGACCGCCCGCTCTGGGGAGCTGAGTGAGTCATGGGTGACAGGGCGGTTACTCACCGACCACCTGGCTGTGGGGGGTGGGGGGCACTCACCACTGCCCAGCCAAGGCTGGGCCTCTTCCCGGCTCCGCTGCTGTGGCTTTATTGGTAGTGTCCACCGCAGCTCCAGAAGCCCTGTGGGCATGACCCTGGGTGGGGGGGCGCTGAATCAGGCTTACTCCTATGGCATCACTGCCCATGTGGGGGCAGAATGGGGTCACTGGCTCAGGCGCGGACAGGTCACCCTTGGGAGGAGCAGTTCCCAGCCTGGAGGGCTGTTTCTATCAGGGTGTGCAAACAGCTCTGCTGTGTGGCCTCAGGCAGGTCCATGGGCCTCTCTGGCACTCAGGGTGGAGAGCCTTGCTCTGCAGACTCAGAACAGGCCCACGTGCCCTCAGAAAGCCACGTGCCCTCCCTGGGGCCCTCGCTGACACCCACCGGCCCTGGGAGCCTCTGCTCTGACAACAGAGAAGCATGTGCAGCTCTGGAGAGGGGTGGGTGTGCATATGGCGGGGGTAGGGGAGGTGGGGGAGTGGGAGAGTTAAAGCCAGGGAAGCTGACAAACCTCAGCATCCAAAGGACCCCCAGCTCAAGTTGTAAAAGTCACAACTTACTGTGTATCACGAACCTTGTCGGTGAGCCTTGTCAACCACTAGTTAAAGGGGGAACTGGTGCATTCTGGAAAAGACTCCTTTCGACCCTCTGTGTGTGGGGAAGGGGGCTCGGGATGGGAAGGGGGTTCCTCGAAGGCTTCCTCCGGGGCCTCAGTGGGCTCCGCAGCCGTGTATTGAGGCCCGCAGAATGTCCTGTTTTCTAGCCAGTTTTCCCTTGAGTCCTCGTGAGGCCAAGGGGCCCAGCGATGACCCAGATCCAGGGGTCCCATCCCCACTCCTCTTATTGCTTGGGTGCATCCTGTAACCTCAGCTGTGTCCTCTGTACAGAGAAGTTATGGGAACTCAAATCTAGAGCAGACGTGAGAATTCGACAGGCAGATTTAGAGACGTCTTGGTTGGGTTCGTGATGCACAGTAAGTGCTCAGGAGAGGGGGTCGTTCTCAGCTATTAGGAGCAGGGAGGCTGGCTACCGGTGACACAGAGGGACGCCCAATGGCTGTGTTTGTTCAGGGGAAAGTGATGAACTCTTCAGGGTGTCTCAGAGGGCTTCGCAGAGGAGGCGACCCCCAGATGGGGTTTTGAGGGATGAATAGGAGTTGCCCAGACTAAACGGCCTGAGAGAGCATCTCAGAAGGAGCAACCCTCATTGTCAGACCCATTCACCCAGGTTCCTTTGGAGGGAGCCTCACAGCATCTTGCTGAATAGGGCAGACCGAACC